ACACATCACGCCGCGACGTGACCGGGACTCAACGGAGATCACACGGAGCCTAAGCAGCAGGATGACCACCGGCCACCAGGGCAGCGCAGGGGGCTTGGTGGAGGAGCACGGATACATGCGGCAGCGGGCTCACGAAAAAATGGGATTTATTCTCCTGCGCTAGGGGAAACGTGCGTGAAAATACCCCCATTCCGCTGGAGGTGGCACCAGGCACTCCAGCCCCCCGCGGGCTGCGCTACGCGACCCGCGGGGAGCCCGAACCGCGGGGAGCCCAAACCGCGGGGAGCCCAAACCGCGGGGAGCCCAGGACAGCGCCGCGGCCATTCCCCTCCCTGGGGCCGGGGGCGCACCGTGCTCCCGCAGCCCGGCACTCGCACCGCACCCGCGGAGCCGCCCGCGGAGCCCAGCGGAGGCCGCCGCCCCACACAATGGGCACAGGTGAATCCCCGGCCCCGCAGCCGCAGCTCCCGCCGGGGCAGGTCACGGATGGGCAGGGCAGGGTCGTCCCGGCACTTACCTGCTCTCCGCAGCCTGGCGRCCACCTCCTCAGTCAGACCCGCCGAATGGGCGCGGAGGGAAGGCGGTGGCTCGGAATGAGAAGCGGCCAAAGAGCGGCGGCTCCCGCCCTCCCCCCCACGACCACCCGGCTGTAGTCGCAGTAGTTGCCGCAGAAAGCGGCTATGTGCCTTTGTTACGCCTCCCCTGGCTGTTGCGCGCTGCTGGGGAGCCCGGGCTGCAGCTGCTTCGCCTTTCTCCTGCTGCTGCCGGTTGCAGTGATTTGCATTAGCCCGGCCCTCATTGAAATGCGGCTCTTCACATCAGCCTCTCCCAGGCGCTCTCCAGAGGGCGGCGCCGCCGCCGCCGTTGTCTCTCTCTYCCTCCCGTTGCGGGGTCGCTGTTCCACGGGCGCTGCGGGAATGCCGCCCCGGAGCCGCTCCGGGCAGCGCGACCTGCCCAAGCAGCGCCGGGGGCCAGCTGAGCCCTGCCRGGACCAGCGGTCACCGTCCCGGTGGGCTCTCCCTGGGGCACATCCCGGCCAGTCCGCGGCTCGCTGCCCTCCCACCGCCTCCCTCCGCCCAGGGCAGCCCCGGCCGGTGAGACGTGCCCGCAAGGGAGCTGCCTGAGGCAGAGCCGTGCCTGGCGAGCGGGRCAGCTGTCGGAGTCCGAAAAACGGCTTGAGAAGTAATTTTAGCATATGTATGTGTGGGCATTTCCAGGAGGTTCGCCTGGTCGCCAAGCACTGAAATCCCACMGAGTCCCCAAAGCTCATGGCACGGCTTGGGTGCCGAAGATGGAATTTATGTGGAATTTAGGTGTTAAAAGCAGTGGAGCCCTGGKTATTCTCACCACTCCCTTAGCTAGAGCTGATCTCGGAGGTGAATAAATTCCARAATTCAGCTACAATTTTTAGGCTGAAATTTCTCAGAACATGTATCTGGCCAAAGACATCTCAGGCTTCATCTGACTGAATCACCTTAACGCCTGAGTCCATCAGGTTTTGGAGTATGTTTACTAAGCCAACCTCCACACAAAAATTCAGCCGTACTCGGTACTTTCTCCTCGTAGGCTTGGTTAGCCTTCACTTCAATGCAAAAATTTCAGTGGTGAGATCTTTCACAGAGGTGAAGGTTTGCTCTCCTTTGTTCAACGAAGACTTCAGCCCACTTCTGCTTGTCAGGTAAACAGCCTATGATCCAGGGGGACATMGAAGGGAAGAAAACCAGTTTGGCTCTTCTGTTCGAGCTGCTTCACTTTGAAAGAATTAAAAATGCATTAGATCAGAGAGAGGGAATTAGTCTGTAACCTCGTGGTTATGGGACTCATTTGGGAAGGACAAAAGATGGCTTTGTGTGTCTGTATTAAGGAAACTTTATGTGTTTCATATCCATAAATCCAGAGACAATCAGTGGAGCAGGGACTTAAATCCAGGGTGCCCTGCTCCCACTGATAGACCTCTAATAGAATAGAGGCTCCTGCTTAATCTGTTTGAAGGCAAAACAAATCTTCAGTCTACAAAAAATGTAAGAGGCTCAAAAGAAGAATGGGATGGGGCACTCCCTTTCTTTTCCCCTAGAAGTCTTGATCATCCTGGAGGAGTTTTTTAATTGCTAAAGCATAGAGCAGACAGGAGTCTTCTGGCTACACTTTTTYCCTTAGTTTTTGAAAGAGAATGACCACCTAAAACCTTCAGAAAAACATCTGCTCAAAGAAGTAATAACATTAAAATACCTGAAAATCAAAAAGAGTCAGAATTCAATGTACAATTGCATCCTCAGCACACTTTTACCACCTAGCTTAGTTTTTGTGGATTTTGTTCTAAGGCACAATTCTTTCCCCATGGTCAATGAGATGCAGTCGCTTTACTATAAAGACTCTTGCATCTTCCTAAAAAATGAGCACTTCCACGRTATTTCATCACCTTTTTAGTCTGTTGGGTTTGAAAATGTCTTGATCTGTGCTTAGACAAAACAGGTAACAGTGATATTAGTAATTTTGTTATATTTGGGGGGAGAATGGAAACTGACAGAATTCTGGTYGTCTTGCAACAAAACTTTATTCTTTAAACCACTTCTTTTGTAGGTCAACAATCAAATAAAATATTCATGACAGTCTTAAATGATAAGAAAAAAACAGGAGATAACGAAGATTAGAGATGGAAGATACCATTATGGTCCTGACAAAGGAGTGTTCTTTAACATTCTTCAGTGCTGTTTTTTCCAGTTCATTTTAAATGCCTCATTTAAATATTTTGAGGCTTCTGCTCCCCAAAGAAAACATCTCTTCAAAGTTGAATTTCTCCAATTATAAGGATTTTTTTTTTTTCTGATTATCAGGTTAGTGGAAGTTTCTAATGTTTCAACTCATTACTTTAGCTATAGTGCCCTGTGTTCACGTACATAATTTATTTCTCCCATTGGTGTTTACATCTCTCTGACATGTATTATTTATATCCAGTCTAAGTGTGCAAAATATTTCACAGATGTTCAAGAAAGATCTGCACTCTGACCATATTAAAAAAGGGTCAAAAGAAAAGAATACAATACAAATCAAGGCAAAAGTATAAACCAAATACGAAAGTATCTTTTTAAATGTGTTGTTTTGTTCATTTGAAATTTTGTGTCTAACATGAAGATGCAACGCAAGAGTGTAGTCTGTTCGTCAACCATGCTTTTATTTTTAGAGCACTTTAAAATATGCTTTTTTTTTACCTTTTTTTCTCGTGTTTGTTCTCCACTTGAATTAACACAATCAGTTCCAAATACAAAGAAAGCCTGAAAGAAATGTTTCAACAGTTATAGCACATCCTGTTAACAAAGTATACTGTTTTCCTAATACAAAGGTGTCTTTCATTGCTGGACAGAATTTGAAATATTGTGTRTTTGTAAGAGCATCCTTATAATCCACAACAGAGTCATTTCTCAATCACACTTTGGATAAAATAAGTAACTTTGACTTCTCATCTCTGTTAACATTGATCAGATTTTTCAGATGTGAGTCTTCCAATAGTTCCAGCTTTTCTGAAGATCTGTAATTTTTAAGCCCCTTTGTCAAAGTGGAATTGGATACAGTTATGTCATCASTCAACACTACTGTATCGAAGGCTGTACCAAATGCCTTGGAACATTATTCTGGGAGCTTCTCTTTAGTTGGCTAACTCTGTGACCCCTAAATCCTTTTCAGAGTCAACKCTTTCCAGGACACAGTCTCCACTCTTCTAAACGCGACCTACATTCTTTGTTCCTGCTGAATGACCTTGCATTCAGCTGTCTCAAAAAGCATGTTCGAATGATCCTGGCTTACCAAAGGATGTCAATTTCCCTACAGAAAAATTGTTTTTCCTTTGCATTATTTAGTGCTTTACGCATTTCATGTCATCTGAAATTTTCACCATTAATGTTGCTAAATATTTCTTCAGATCACTCATAAATTTATGCAGTAGCGCAGGGCAGCATTTTCTGAAAGGCAGGGCTCAACCCCCCACGGCAGCGGTGTCAAGGGTGTGTTCACAGYTCATTTCACTTCTCGTCAGAGAGGCACTGGGCTCTCAGGGTGCCAAGCCAGGCCAAGGGAGCTGGTGCTGACACTGCGACATATGCCCAGTTCAGCACACAGGCTGTGCCAGCTCCCAGCAGAGAGCCGAGCAACTGGAGCGGCACCGGCCAGCTGGGCACTGCGCGGACCTGGGCTGGGCTGGGCTCCTAGCACCAGCCACGTGTCGGGAAAAACTTGCTGATGAAAAACACCAGAACTCCACCAATTCCTCAAGGATTACCCAAAGGATGATGATTAGCTGTTTGTACTTTTGTAGATCTGCAATTTAGCCATTTCACAGCTAATTATTATGTGTTACGCTGATTTTGTACAATGCTAATCACTTAATTAGGTTGATATACTGCTCTATATCTGTCAGAATATGTCAWTGCAGTCATCTTTATCAATCGTATTCAACAGTTTCACCCAGAAAGCTTTCCAGTTTGACGTACTCATTGTCACTAATTACACAATCATTTTTGGAAATTATTGTGTCACGTGTCAAGGCTTCATTTGTTTTACCTGCTAGTGATTCCAGCATAGATAGAATTATAAAATCAAGGTCATGCTTTTTATGTTGTCCAAATGTAACCCTGACTTTATCCATGTTTTTATTACATCCTTAACATCCTTGAATTTCTTGACTAGCAACATTAATTGTTCAGAAAGACCAGTAATAACTTCTTTACAAACTACAAAAGTATTTAAAATCATTTACGTATTATTTTAGGCCAAAACATATGGCTTTCATGACTGGGATGGGTCCACATTTTGAAGAAATATTAGTTGAATATTTCTGTCTGTTCTGCATTGTTATTGACAATTTTACCTGTTTCCTTCTAATAACATTCCTGTGATTTTGCTAGGATAATTTTTTTTCACACTGCTTTATTATTTTTTTTTATTTTTCTCTCTCCTTAGTATTTTTGGTTRTAAAATTTCTCACTGATAATTTCTCATATGTTTGTTGTTGCTGCATCACTTGTCCAGAMTTAAAATAATGGGCAAAAGAAAAATAAATGGTTTTGCTATATTATTTGTTGTTCTATATTTATCTTCATTGAGGCTGTGATTCAAAAAAGACAACATTCTCTTTGTGCATCTGGATTTTTGAATCTGGTAAGATCTTTCGCAGTTACAGACTTTTTTTCTCATTTATTTGCTTATGACTGACTTCTTCAAGAAATTCATCTTCTCTAACTGAAGACCAGGAATTAATTCTGTAATTACATGCTGGTCATTGGATAAAACATTCTTAGTTATTTCTGATATTCCACTAATGCTTTAACTATGTCAAAAAAAGACCTTCAGCATGGCTTGTCAGACTGATGTCTCTTATTTTATTTTTAGATATTCCTATTTCAGGTATGATTAAAGACAAGTTTAAAGAGCTGTTTTACTGATTTGATTTGCTTGTCCATATTGGTTAACAAATTGAACCTAAAGACCTGTCATTTGGATTTATAAATTCTAAATGAACCATGCATGTGGCAGGTCAAATCTTACCCGTGAAACAACTCCATCCATCTCCAAATATTTTCCATCATCATGTAGTATAGAAAGATATGTATTTGAGTAAACTGTTCCTATAATCTTTCTCCTTTCCAGGTTGCCAAGAACCTGGAAAGAAGAAGGTTGCCAAGAACCTGGAAAGAAGCTGAATCAAAATAATTCCAAAGTGCAGGATCTCAATTTTTGCTGATCTTTGGTTTAAACTCGTTAAAAGGAATTGATATTAATTTCTGACTGGT